ATGGTCAGCTGTGCCATAGGTGAGTCAAACACCATAATTGGCTACCCATCATGGACAGCGTTTGGTGGGGCTCCCAGATTGATTCAGATTTAGAAGCAGGAGTAGCATCCACTTCCTAAACCCCATGCCTCTTGAAACTTTATGAACCTAGAAAATTGACAATAGTTATAGAAAAGCTTCAGGCCTTTGGTTCATGGTGTGGCTATATGAGTTGTGCTCAACTCGACATCAATAAACAACAACAAAGGTGAAAATATTTATTTAAAGTATTTTAAAACTATAATATTTCTGCATGGAAATGTATGCTAAAAATTTTAGTGTATTTGGATGATTACAATATTTTCTTCAACGTACGCTATATTTTTCCTTCACAGTAGCATCTGACATTTTGCAATTATACACAGTATTGTTCTAACAATTGAACTCCTTCACATTAAGATCCAAGATCATCACCTTTCCATTATCTTGAAATATTATAATTATTATGTTTCTTATATACTGTATGTTTTGTTGTTTATTTTTCTTCAGTTCAAAGTAACTAATAAGAAAAACATTTTAAAAGTATTTCCAGTACTTGACTATATAGTTATTTTTGGTTGTTGACACTTGATTACTAGTTCTGTTTCCAAGAAGTAGAAACATAATCGTCCATAAAACATATCTTTTAAGGTTTACAGCTTTATACCCGTATCTTTAGATCCTAATTAATATGAGTTAAACCTATATAATTAAATCCTATTCAAAAGGCATGCTTTAGTTATTAGTATTTTATTTAAAATACATTTCTTACACATACAGGTGTAGAAAAAGGAATAGCCATAAATATTTTTGTTAGTTGTTGGTTGAGCTCTGCTCTATTCTGGGCCAATCTCACTGTCTCTAACACACCTACCCTTATTACCCCAGTTACTTTGTCAATCCATCTTATCTGAGGCTTTTCTCTCCTGTACTGTCCCTCCATCTTTCCTGGCATGATGTTCCTCAAAGACTGGTCCGTGTTGGCCACGTGAGTTTTCAATGAAATGCCCAAATACCACACAGACATACAGGTAATATATATGCTTTCATGCTTTCTGAGAAACATATAAGATAAATATGAAAGTATATTAGAGTTAAATCATAAAATGTTTAACTTGCTTTAATTCAATAAATGAGGTAAGTGAAAAGGAGATGATATGGAAAGTAATGTCTAATGCTCTGGAAACAGCACTTACTCATTGAATATGTGTACTCAGTTAAACAAAGATGAGGATGGTAACCTGAGACACCCTCAGTCACTGCCAGTGGGTGACTTGAGGAGTTGATGAGAAAAAAAAAAGAACAGAAGCTACAATATTCTTCTTCAGTTCACTGAAGAGTTTTAACTTGTTACTTGGATATAATTTATCTTTACAAAAGAATATTTCATTTTGTTGTAGGAAAGATCACACTCTGGAACCATGACAATATTAGAAAATTAATAAGATATTAATGTTGTTGTTAAGTACCTTAGAGTGGTAGATGACCCATAGCGACTCTTTGAATGAAAGTTTTGAATGAAAATCTTTCATCTTTTCTCCAGGTTCATAGAGTTTCTGGAGATAAGCTTTTTTGGAAGTGGTTGCCACTCTTATTCAGGAGATCCCAAAAAGCTTTTCAAGTACAAGACCAAATCCAATCATCTCACACCCTCTTGTGAGCAGCAGCCACATCTTAACCCCAAACCAGAAAACACACCTTAGCAGAATCTGGCTGTTCCCCTTATCTTTCCATCCTGGAAATAGCCCCAGACTGGTGGTCAAAAGCCCTTTTAAATACAAGGCCGAATCCAATAAACTCACAACCTGTTGTAAGCAGCAAGGTAAGAAATAATAACAAAACAAGGATCATACTTATTGAGAAAAAGGGAAGAAAAAGGTCAGAGGTGTAGAACAAGCATTTGGTATTTAGGAAACAAAGCAAGAGGAACTTACTTCCGGAAGCAGTGAGCTGCTGTGACGAGCCAAGTGTTACTGATTAGACTGGCTCCACACTGATGGCCAGCCCCTATGAGTTGGAGACTGGCCTGCCATGGCCACTCCCCATCTATAGCTGTTTCTCTTCCATTGACAATTCTTTCAGTTGATGTAGATGGAGGGATTGGCATGTTTGAAGATGTCATCCTTATCCCACAGCCTGTAATGGAAATACGTGTTAGCCTCTTTGAGTGAAAAGGAGTGTAGAAAACATGTCCTAAATTTTCTTGGCTGGAAATGCTTAAGTAAATAATTTTCACAGTTATTCTTTAATCCATACTAGTACTCAATCTGTAAGAGTTATTTTGTAGGATTCCTATTGTCTTTGTTTGCAAAAAGTGAATACATGTAGTACTTACTAAAGATCAAAGAACACAGCTTTCAATATGGATTATATCTCAACATCAAGAAAACAAAAGTCCTCACCACTAGTCTAATAAATAACATTAGGATAGATGGGGTAAAGATTGACGCTGTCAATGATTTCATTTTACTTGGATTCATAATCAACATCTTTAGTAACTCCAGCCAAGAAATTTAAAAAAAAATGTGTTACATTTGAAACAATCCACTGACAAGAAACTTTATTAATTTTTCAATAATTTTTATTGTGATTTGAATGAAAATTTACAGATATCTTGTATTTCCATTAATTCAGTATTGTACATTTTCCTCCCTTTCTCCTCCTGTTCACTTTAAATATGGTTAGTTTGTTGGTTTGGTTTTTGTTGTTTGTTTGTTTGTTTTTCTCCATTCATTATTGCTCTTTACAGAGTACTAAACATCAAGATCTGTCTTGAAGAGAATGAAATCAAGATTCTCCTTGGAGGTTGGGATTTTGAAGCTCTATCTCACATACTTTCAGCATGAGGATAGGAGAGACTGGTCCTTGGAGAAGGAGGGGTGGAAGGACAATGCAGGAGAAGAAGACCCCAGATAAGATGGATTGGTACAGTAACTGGGGCAAGGAGGGTAAGTTTACCAGAGTCAAAGACTGGCTTAGAACAAGGCAGACTTCAGAGCTGTTGTATATAGGGTCACTATGAGTTGCAGGTGACTCAACAACACTTAACAACAACAACAAAGATCAAGAATGTCAGTTTAAAGACTTAAGTGTACCTGACCCAAGCAAGAGAATTTTTAGTTGCTATACATGCATCAGAAAGTTATGCAATAAATAAGAATGACCAAGAAGAATCAATGCCTTTGGATATTTTTTATGTTGGTGAATTTGAATATTCCTTAGGCTGCTAAAAGAACAAATAAATCTTTCTTGGAAGAAATACAACCAGGGTCCTCCTTAGAGCAAGAATGGTAAAGTTTTTCTCACATACTTCAGACATGTCGTCAAGAGGGACCAATCCTTGGAAAAAAAGCATCCTGCTGGGAAGGTGGAGGGTCAGAAAAAGAGAGGAAAACTGCCAACAATATGGATTGACACAGTGACTGTAGCAATGGGCTAGAACATATCAGTGATTGAAAAGATAATGTAAGACAGAGCAAGATTCAGAAATGTTGTTCATAGGGTCATGCTGAATCAAAGTCAATCTGATGGTACTTAACAGTAGCAACTGATCTTATGTTAGTCAGTTCAGAAAAGATATTTAGTAACATTATCAGGATTTCAGTTTAGGAATTAACTTGCACAAAGTACCTACATAGGTAGGTTGTTGCTATTGAGTATTGTTGAGTCAGAACTGGACCATAGCTGATCCTCTAGTGGGTGTTCAGAAACAATAAATCACATGGAGGTAGGTAGAAAATTCATTGAGCATTTAAAACTTAAAAGCTCTTCTGATGAGTCTTAATCTTTTCCTCCAAGAAGCGTAATTTTCAGATTGTTGTTGTTTTTGTGTACCATCAAATCAGAAACAATTCATAGATGACCCTCTGCCAGGTTTTCAGAGGCAGTTGATTGTACGGGAGGAGATGGTCCTTCCTTCTCCAGTGGAGCAGCTGGTGGATTCAAACAAACCGTGTGCCTTTGGGATTGCAGTGCAATTTCTTGCCACTAGGTCACCCTGATTTTCAGATTATTGTTGGCATGTGCTGTCAAGTCACTTGTGACTTATAGCGATTCTATGTACAATAGCCGTGAACCTTGCTCTATCCTGTGACAACCTTATAGTCTCTGACACAGCTACCCTCATTACCCAAGTGGCTGAATCAATCCACCTCATTGAAAGTCTTCCTGTCTTACACTGTTCCTCAACCCTCCCAAGCATGATGTCCCTCTCCAAGGACTAGTCAGTCACTCCTTGCAACATGCAGAAAGCATATCAGATGAAATCTCAGAATCCTTGCCTCTAAGGAGCAGCCTGATTTCACCCTCTCTGGGACAAACCTGTTTGTTCTCCTGGCAGTCCATGGTATAGTCCATATTCTTCTCCAGCACCAAAG